ATGTGGTATGAGAATGCTTGCAAATGATATATTGCTGCTGCAGGTATAGCCCTTCATCTGCATCTGCTATGAAGATTATGCAAAGCAGAAAAGTATATTTAAAAGCAAGCTTAATCATACTAAGCAACATCACCCTCCGTATTTATGACTCCAAAAGTGAATCAACGCAGTTTCAACCTCCCTGAAGCCCATGTTTAAGAAAAGAGCAATATGTCAGCCTAAAATATCACTTTGGAAGCTTTCAAGGTGCAGCCTAGCAGAAATTGCAAATCACATTACTAGGGAGGATTCAGAAACTGTTCTTTCTGAGGACATGATATTTTTTCTTGCTGAAATCTAGAATCAATGGCAGTTAAAAAAAAAAAAAAGGTGAAATAAGTTCCCAAGCCCTGCAAATTGTACAAAAAGTTGCAAATATTGACAGTCCCAACTAGCTGTGTTCTTTCACCTTCCTTCTTATGTTCTTAGGGAAAACTTAGAGATGTGTCTCATTATGTCTCACTTAGTGGAGGACTTTCTGGTCTCATTCTACTTCTGTGAAGATTTCTTGGTTGCCCCATAATGAGTTGTTATATAGTAGTTTTACAAAGCAACAAAGCACTTGCCTACATTGTCCTTCATATGTCAACAATTGCTAATGGGAGAGAGAATCAGACCCTGCTCTAGATCACAGCTGTCCCAGGTGGGTAGTGATTATGTGTCATTACAACCTGATTCTTGTTCAGTGTTCTGTCAGAAATGAGATTTTTGTGTTCAATCCATTTCTTAATGGACAGGTGTGACAAATAAATTGGCATTAATCGGCAACATTGTTGGCAGTCTCAGCAGAATGCCAAAGGTGTGAAATGAACCAGAGGATAAAAGCTGTGACTGCAGAGATGATCTCTAAACAGTCAACTTTTTTAGTGCTTTGGAGAAACACTGTTGAGAGTTTTCAACATGAGCAGCAGCAGCTGCTTAGTAGACAGAAGGCTTGAAGGTCAGCCAACTCAGTACACTGGGTCAGACCAAAGGACCATCTAGCCAAGTAGCTTGTTCCCAGCTGATGCCCTCCAGAGAATACAAAACCAGAGGAAATATGTACAATTACTTACAGGGTTTATTTCCTGCACCTCCAATTACTTCTGCCATAGGGACTTCCTGAGCCAGTTTGTTATATAGAGGAAAAACAATCTTTGTTTTTATCCGACTGTTTTTACTTCTAATTGATACCCCTTCTGCTTATATGAAAAGGGCAAGTGAACCACTGTTCCCTAATCCCTTTCTTTGTTATTTGTTACATACCTTTGTCACAATTCCTTCAGATGCTTCTTTTCCAGATTAATGAATCTTTGTTTACTTAATTATTTGTGTGAAAATGATTCCATTCCTTTCAACATCTGCTTTTCCCACAACAGCAGGATCTTATTTTTTGAGTGTTAATCATCTGTTCATATCCTATTACAGTATGGGGGAAGTTAATATTGTCTTTCTTCGTGTATTTACTGTATTTTCAGAAGCCATTTTATCTTTCAGTTATTCAGTATCATGAGCTGCTTCTGCAGATATTTGCAGTTTGTTTTTCTTTTTATTGTTTTTTATTACTTATTGTGTCTAATAAATTTGCTCAGTCTGGTGTTCACCATCTTGTCCAGATGGCTTTTGACACTGTCTCCGATAACATCCTCATAGGTAAGCTCAGGAAGCTTCAGTTAGATGAGTGGACAGTGGGGTGGACTGAGAACTGGCTGAACAGCCAAGGTCAGAGGGTTGTGATCAGTGGCACCGTCTAGTAGGACGCCTGTGACTAGAGGTGTTCCCCCGAGGTCACTACAGAATCCTGTCTTGTCAAATTCTCAGTGACCTGGATGAAGGGACAGCGTGTACCCTCAGCAAGTCTGATGATGATACAAAATTTGGAGGAGTGGCTGATGAACCAGAAGGCTGTGCTGCCATTCAGTGAGACATAGTATAGAGAGCTGGAGAGGAATCTCATGAAGTTCAACAAAGCTGAGTGTAGGGTCCTGCACTGAGGGAGGAACAACTCCATTCACCAGTACAGGTTAGGGGTTGAAATGCTGAAAAGCAGCTCAGCAGAGGAGGACCTGGGGGTCCTGGTGGACAACAAATTGCCTATGAGCAAGCAATGCGCCCTTGTGACCAAGAATGCTGATGGTATCCTGGAGTGCATTAGGAAGGGTATGATCAGCAGGTTGAGAGAGGTGGTTGTCCCCCTCTACTCTGCCCTGGTGAGGCTGCATCTGGGATATTGTGTTGAGTTCTCAGTTCCCCAGTTCAAGAATGACAAGGAACTGCTGGATAGGGTCCAGTGGAGGGTTATGAAGATGATTAGGGGACTGGAGCATCTCTCTTCTCATGAGGAAAGGCTGAGATCTGGGCCTGTTTAGCCTGGAGAAAAGATGACTGAGAGGGGATCTTATCATCATTACCTACATTGAGATATATTTTGTTTTGCACTGGTATCTTAGTAAAGCCTTTGACTGGAGTGTAAGGGACCAAATGGAAACATGAAATTGCCAGTGACTCACTCATAAATTTTTTGCTGCCAAGTCCTCTTAAATCACCTAGATTATTATAGAATATTGTTCAACAGCTTGCTAAAAGAAGTATAGCTAATAGTTCACAAGAAAAAGACAGATTTTTAAATGTTTAAATTGTCTAGATGTTTTCTATACCTTAAGAATTGAAAGAATAGGAACAAGAGGTAAAAAAATTAACAGCTAAACAAAGGTGTTGCAGAAATTTATATGTTTGTTTATTTTCTGATCTTTGGTTTTAAATTCAGTGATCATATTCAAGCATTTATGTTTGACTGTAATAAGCTACCTTCTGCTTTATTCTTAGACATTTCAGTTTCTAGACAGGCATATTAGATTATGGTGATCATTTTAAACTTCAGATTGCATGTGGTTCTGTCAATTATTTTAATTTTTACAGCATTCTAAAATATGTATTGGATTTTTCACTATGATATTATTATTAAATTTATACTAAACTTTGGAGCTTAGTATAAGATTTTTATGTCAACTTAGCCTTTTGTGGCTAATTGTATGTAATAGCATTAGTCTATGGACTTGATGATGAAACATTCATACCACAATACCACCAGAAGATCTCGGTGAAATGAAAGCTGGATTGTTCTAGGGATTGCAAATACTCTAAATTAAATTCCTTTCCCCAAACAGATGGCAGTCTAAAAGATTCTTTAGTGTTACCAACACTGACAATTTCATTACAAATTTTTCATTTAGCTGGAAAGTGTCCCTCGATCACCAGTTCTGAGTCATCCTGTTAGAATGTGAAACTCACTATTATTTATTTAACGAAGTAAATAGAAAGTTCAGCCCTTGCTGACTGTAAGAAGGAGATTTAGGCAGAGGGGGAGGGGGAATGAACCCTAAATCCTTATGAACAAGAAAAAGAAATAGAAATAGAACCATTCCCAGAATGTTCTTTATTTTAAGTAAGTTAAATGGCATTTTAAACACCTGGGCATAACAGAGGTCATTCTGTGGTTTATTTGCTTTTGTAAGTACTACTCAGTGCTTGTATAAAATAACTGACTTTCAACTCCCTTCTCTAACAGAAAGTGCTCTGTACAACATGGGACAAATAATTTTGATTCAGAGACAGCACAAATGCCAAACTTTGACCTATCTATCTATGGCTGTGAATCCTCAGTCGCCTCTCTGTAAATAGTATTACTAGCTTTATTAAAGTGAAATGCTCAGCTGTCATGTTAGTGAGGAGATATAAATGCCAATACTTTTCAATTTATGATTTTTATGCTTTCTGTAAGAAACTCCCCATTTATTCTGTTGTTTAATAAGCATTTTTTTAAGCTCGTAATCATGCTCATAAATCTCAGGTGGTACACTGAGCAGTGGTTTCCAGCATTTTCTAATTTTTGCCTGTGAAAACAAATAGTTAACAATCTTTTTTGACAAATTGGGCATAGTTCTTTATTTCCAGTCATGGATACAGTGATGAAAACCTCTGGATATTATTTCACAAGGAACAAACTACATGATCTGCAAGTTTATATCGATTAAGATACCTATCTCTGCAGTTTCCTGAATGTTTTAGTGCAACTTTATGGCAACTTTTAATACTTCATAAATATTTCCTTTTATAATGTTTCATTCTTTGTGCTTTTATGCACTATTTAGTTGCAATACAAAAGAATGCTACATATATGAGCAGGCTGAACAGTTTGTAGATAAGCTCTGGTTTAGGCTATTTATCAATAGCTATATATCCAGGCTAATTCCCCTAACTTAATTTGCATTTGCAGACATCTGCTTTAAAGTTTTCTTTTCTATGCCATAGTTACATGAAATGAGCAGGTGATTGTAAAATTTTATATTTTCACTATTCTGAGATTTGGACAGCCTTTACTGCTTAGACAGTATCTACAATCTTTCCTTTCTAATAGAAGCATTTGAAGGAAAACTTCAAAGATAGATGATATTTCAAAATTCGTCAGTCTGTATATGGATAGAGATAACACAGAAATCTACTATTAAATAACATTATGAATAAAAGTCACAATGCACAAATAAGAAACCAATATTCTCTAATGTAGTCTTTACATTAGGATATTATCCGTGTCTTTTTCTCTGATGATGTAGAAGAGTTGCAAAGACCAAATGAATTTAAACCAAAAATGCATTTTATGTTACATTTAGACAAAATTAAGGATGCTTATGACTAAAAACTATTTCCTTTTTATTGTCAATTATAAGTATTAAAAATATGTATATATTTAATATTAAGGCAATAATGAAATTAAGTCACAAGTATAATATCAATATAGGTAGCATTCATTTCTACATGAATGCTTCCTTTTAATTCTCTACTAAATTCTGAGATTCTTGAATAATTTTATTGCCATGATTACTCACTTCGGAGACAGGCAGAGGTAGAGATGCATATTAGTGTTTTTTTTCGCTATGTCATCTGATAAATTGCACTTACTGATTCTCATTTATTTTGCACAGGCTCCATCATCACCTTCTTCACCCATAGCTAATGAACCAAAATATGAGAAGCGCTGGCTAGACACCTTATCAGTTCCTCTGTCAATGGCTCGAATCTCAAGGTACAAAGCTGGAACAGATAAATTAAGGTTTGTAATCCAAAAAGGGAAACACTGAGTTAGCTAACTGTATCTAATATTTTGCTGGAGAGTGTTGGTTCTGAAAGAATTCTTTGTGTGGAGATATGAATGTCATCTTATTAAAAAGTATGCAGTCCATCTTCTCTTGAGATTAATGGGATGCATGGTGGCTACCAAAGATACAGTAAAAGAGGACAATATACTTAGCTCTACAAGTATGTTTCTACAATCTGTTGTATTTTGGGAATTCAGCTAGCATCAGGAGCTAGTACAGAGATTAAGCTTGGTGTTAACTGAATTAATTTTTAAGCTACTACATTTCATTCCATAACTTTTAATAGAATACTTCTATTCCCAATTTCTAATATTGTCAATTAATTCTTCTTTAGCTTTACAAATGATCATTTTTACACAATCATCATGACTATGCTGTATATCACTGTCATATAGAAATCCATATTGACAAGAGTTTTTGGCAAACTGCATGGTACAAAATATTGTATTTTTAATTGTAGAATCTTTTTGCTTCTCAGAGATCTAGACCTATGTAATGGTTCATAAAGTAGCCTTGGAATAGGATGGCAGAGGTGATTTTCCTGAACTTCAGGAAACATGAAAGCAAAAGTGAAGTTTAATAAAGCTTCAATAAATAATGTGCTTGAGAAAGGTTTAACACATCACAGCATGCATCAGCTTTTTTCTGCAAAATATTCTGTATGGTAGGAGTACTTCCAATCTACCAGTAGTTGTGGCCCAAGTAGTCCATAGTTCTCCGTATATATGAGGATCAAAGTTTATTCACTGTTAATATTGTCCATTTTCTTTATGGGTTGCTCTATGTTTTTTGCTTCTAATTCTTTTTAATGAGAGAACTGGAAGCTGTATTTAGGCATCACCTATATAGGTTATATGCTACCAGGAGGTAGCAGAAATTCATGTGTATACCGTTCTTGACCTATGTCAGATTTGTTACCTGTTTCCTGAAAATGACCTAAAAAAAAATTTTGTAGTAGGACAGTTACGCTGCTTTAACTTGGAGAAATTAGTCTCCCAAATCATTTGGCAGCTCCTCTCCTAAACTTTGTGTTAAAGCATCACAGGTGAATAATAATAAATTGTCTAGAAAAGTTTTAGCCTCTTCTGCAGTCTGAACTCTTAATTCCATTTTATTTAGTCTCTCATCACTTTCTCCACCACTTCCTTCCTACTTCAACAGACTAATTCATGTGGTCTGACCCTTTACAGTCTATCACAGGCCTCCAATCATCCAAGGCTCAGAATTTCTTCTGGAATTAAGAGAACAAATCTCTGCATCCACATTTAGACATCAGCTCATCATCAACTTATCATTGCTCTTAAAGGATACTAGGAGGAAGATAGACATTTAAATCTCTGAGTTCAGTTATCACCTTGATAGTTTGAAGCAGTTTCACTCCTATTCTGTGCACTGTACACATTAGATGGAGCAACCCCAAGGGATTCCAGTTTCCAAAAATAGCATGTGCTTTTTGAGAATTCTTGGAAGTAAAACACCTGGTATCACACTGTGTCTGGCTGAGATGGATTTAGTTTTCTTCATAGCAGCCCATATGGTGCTGTATTTTGGGTTCTGACTAAACAATATTAATATCATACCAGTATTTTGGTTGTTGCTGAGCAGTGCTTTTGAAATAGCAAGACTTTCTGCTTTTCCTGCTCTGCTTCCACTCAAGGAGTAGGCTGGGCTGAGCAAGAAGCTGGGAGGGGGCAGAAGCTGAGCCACTGGCCCAAACTGACCAAACGGATATTCTATGCCTCAGGAAGAAAAACTGAGAAGAGGGGCTATGGGTGAGCTAGCCATTGCTTGGAGACTGACTGGGCATCATTCTGCTTGTGAGAGATGGTGATTGGTTGCCTTTGCATCACTTGTTTTGTTGTGGGTTTGTCTGGTTTGGGCTTTTTTCTCCTCTTCACTTTGCTTACTGAAGTACTTTTATTTCAACCCACAAATTTACTTGTTTTTCTTATTGTCTCTGCTGTCCCACTGGAGAGGTATAGGGATGTGAGGGGCAGTGTGGATGGTTAGCTGCTGGCCCAGGGTCAACCCATCACAGACATATTTTTTTCTTGTGAGGACTGGGGATTTTAATGCTTTCAGTTTCAGTCTTGGAGAGAAGTGCTCTTTTGTGATGTGTCTTGCTTCCCCATGTATATTTAATATACACAGCACTCCTTTATTACTGGTGTTGGGTTTTTTTCCTTTTTGTCATAAACAGTCTAAAGGAAGATGAAATTGTTCCATAAAGCCTATCACTATCCCATGATACTTTAGTGCTACTAAATACTTCTTGTTTATTTTGGTAAACCAACAAGCACATCTACATGAGCATTAAAGGAATACCGCCTTGAGACTAACTGTGGATGAGGTGTTTCCCATGTTCTTACTAAAGCTGTTTATTTTGCCTAATGGATACCAGACTGCTCTTACCCTATTCTCTCCTTCTCTGAAATGCATGTACATATTTTTACTATTATCCCACTTGTATCCTTTCTTTTACATTTCCCAATGTTCATATAAACATAAATTCCAACATTTGTCTTCAGTAATTGCTCTCTAAAATCAAGTGTCTGTTTTCCACAAAATAAAACCTATAAGCTATTACAAGTATAAATGATGACATCAGTCTAGATAACAATCCTCCTTTCAACCATATCTACACATCTGTGTTCCCTTTCACATTTCAGCCATCAGTCTAAATTAAATTTAATGAGTCCATGACAATTCCCCTGAATGTATCATGGATCCTGCTGACCAATATGCTAATGTTGCTATTCTCTGAATATTCACTTAAAGCCTATTTGCATGTATTGTAGACAGTGTGGCTGCTTTTTAAGTATTAAATGAGTCCATGAGTCTATATGTCATCCTTGTAGCTTTTTATCTCCCTCATGTTCTTTGTCATAACTTTGTTTTGTTGCAATGCTTCATTGTATCTTACTCTCTGAGTTACCTCAGTTGGTCACAAGAAGATGCACTGGCACTAGAACAGCCAGGTTACTTTTTAATGTTGTTGAAGTATTGGAACTATCTTCTATAGTGTCACATACACAGTTGTGTGCCTTTTCTTCAGCTAGATGAACTGTATGAAAGATCTTGTCCCTGTTCCCTACCTGAATTAAATTCAGAGGGTTCTGTATCATTCTTTCTATAAAAATTATCTACATCCCTCTGGCTTTTGACATTGGCTTGTATCTATGCAAAATGTTATGGCTTGTGAAAGGAAAGTGAAGCCTGTATGATTATTTTGCTGTCTATCCACTCACAGGTAATGCACACTTGGCTTTCTTCCATCCTTCTTTTCCCTGATAGAAAGATAGCTTTTTCACCTTTGAGATTCTTGTAGTTGACTACAGCAGACTTAGCATACCTTCATTAACAAAATCAATCACAGAACGATATTTCTTTTTTAATACACAGTATTGTATATTCTGTGTAGAGCATCTGTGAGTTCAACTGCTCTTGCTGTTCTGATGTGCTAAACTGCTGTCAGCCAGTCTGGATGCCCCCCCTGATCTCATTTACTTTTTTTCTCCATCATATTCAAGATTATTTCATATTTTCAGCATTAATTTTCTGGGGGTGTAAATAAGCTCAAACTTTCACAACCATCTATCTTAAGGTTGAACAGTCTGATATATTACTGAAGGACATCTTTTTGCTGGCTCTATTTTAAAAATACAGAGAGTATTACAATGTGGCATTTTAGCATCATCATCATTTGCTGAATATTTTTGACCATTTTTCAGTTAGAAACATATTATACATCTAGAGTTGTCTGTTAGACTGCAGTATACTTAGTATGGTTTACATCAAATCTAGTTCAGTTTATAGAATCATAGAATACTAAGAAAGGACCTTAAGATCATCTGGTTCCAGCCCCATCCTGCCATGGGTAGGGACACCTCCCACTAAACCATGTCACCCAAGACTCTGTCCAACCTGGCCTTGAACACCACCACGGACGGAGCATTCACAACTTCCCTGGACAACCCATTCTAGTGCCTCACCACCCATACAGTAAAGAACTTCTTCCTTATAGCCAATCTAAACTTCCCCTGTTTAAGTTTTAACCCATTACCCCTTGTCCTATCACTACAGTCCCTAACGAAGAGTCCCTCCCCAGCATCATTTTAGGGCCCCCTCAGATACTGGAAGGTATCTGAAAGATACCATGAGGTCTTCACACAGCCTTCTCTTCTCCAGGCTGAACAGCCCCAGCTTTCTCAGCCTGTCTTCATATGGGAGGTGCTCCACTCCCCTGATCATCCTTGTGGCCCTCCTCTGGACTTGTTCCAACAGTTCCATATCCTTTTTATGTTGATTGATTGATGGCTTCACTTTGCAAACAAAAATCTGTGAATGGTTTTACCCACACTTACTACAAGTGTGAGTAAACCCTTCCAGCCTGCGCAGTGGATTTTTTTAGGTGAGTCACAGCATGCATGGAACTGGCCCCAACCTTTACACCTGAGGTTTATCTCCCAGGGCCTAGCGAGGTTGGACGGCGACAGCAAAGTCCTCAGGTCATAGGTTTGGTTAGAGTATCCTTCTCTTAGATGGATGGCATTACAAGGCTAAATGAGCTCCATCTGCCCAGGTTTGAAGTTAGAGTTGTCCTTCTCCTAGGACGGTTGCCCAAAGGCTAGTGAGTCCATCCTGCCCATGGACAAAATTTGTCTGCCCCTTCAGTTGAGACCTGCCTGACATGGGAGACCCTAACGGAGGCATGTGCCACCACCAGCATACCTCTCAACCTCACAAGGGCACACAAGCTCTTTCACCATGAGAAGGGGGTATCCGTGAAAGAGCCTTTTTATGTTGAGGACACCAGAACTGCACACAATACTCCAAGTGAGGTCTCACGAGAGCAGAATTAAGGGGGCAGGATTACCTCCTTCAACCAGCTGGTCATGCTCCTCTTGATGCACCCCAGGATAAGGTTTGGCTTTCTGGGCTGCGAGTATACACT